AACTATTATTAAATGGTACAGCTGGCATGAGGCTTAGGCGTTACGGCAAAAACTAAGCCGTAACTTCCAAGACTAGACACCTCTATGATGGCATGAAAATCTATTTCACCCTTCATTATAAAATTTAAAGCTCCGAAAAAGTGCAAATTTAGCAGTCAAAAAACGTTTACAAAATACACTATTTTTTGGGCTTGAAACCCATTTCCTTCGTATCCATACTTGTCGAGATCAAGTTGATGTTTTTCTAGTATCCAAACAACAACCCACTTCCTTCATATCCATACTTGTCGAGATCAAGTTGATGTTTTTCTAGTATCCAAACAACAATTTCCAGCAAGATTTGAGGTGCAGCTTTAAAAAGCCACAGCCACACTAGTTTGTCCTACAACATTTTTATAACAGCCACAGCCCTACTAGGAGTCTGACAACATTTCCATCTTTCATCTAATATTTGAGTGAAAAATCCTTCTTCGTGAAGTGTAAATATGCTAAGTCCTTTATTTCAAATGTCGACATTGAGTAAATATGCTGAAGTCCAGCCATCAAACTTGCAGACGTCACTAGCTTTTTAGCTCATCACATCCTTAATTTTCATTTGGAACTGGCGCAAGCTCTTGGTACAATCAATGATTCAATATACAGCAAGGTCTTTGTTCAAAACGTTAAAAACACTACAAAGACGGGAATGTACAGAGGACGCCTAGGGTTCTTTCTTGAAGCTATTGGTATCAGTTTTTTCTCGTGCATTCGCGACATTCAGAATGATCCTTTTTTCTTTTTCTTTCTTTTTTTATCAATGCATGATTGATGTTGGGTTCTTCACGCTCAATGGGTGTAGTCCCCCAACCCTCTAAATTTGGCCCTGAAGGCCCCTGGTAATTGGAGCCACTTCCTCAATTGACCTACTGATCACTGTCAATCTGATGCACTAATTCAATCACACTATGGCACCACCCTTGCATGCTATGCGTTTAAAATCATAGGGCACCACTATCAATCACAATTATGCACTAGTGATATCATTTTAGGCCCCCATGATTAAATGGGTGACCTATACTCCTTTTGTAACTTGTATTTTTAGTTTCAATACAAACAAGAACCTCCTTTCAAGGAAAAAAGATGTCATTTTAGGCATGCTACAACATATTGCAGTTTCAATAATTTATCAAACTCTAAATGTTATTTTCACCTACTTCAACATGATACAATGCACTTGACAGCTGAAATTGAGATATTGCTTCTAAACATTTGCAATGACGAATCTTTCCTTTTCTTGTTTCCCTGGGCATGATTATCCAATAGTCAGTCATATAAGCACTGGCTTCTTTTTATAATGCCTATCAGGAAGTTTTCATTCCCTCACACTTTAACTAAGACCATAATTCTAAGAATCCTTCACCAAACCAACTCAGTAAATGAGTTTGTGAGGAATTTCTGATTCTCATTGCACCGAAATAATAATTCTAGGATCCAAATTCATCAAAAACATGATATTAGTTGGACGTAAGCACTACGTTTTTCAAGTAGATCAAGGGCATCAGAGATCTTGAATAGATTTAAGCCTATTAAGAAACTATTTGAATACATTGCTCACTCAATTGGAAGGCACTTTGTTGCAATCTTGAGGTTGTTAGTTCAAAACCAGCTCGCCATAAAAAATCAGCTGTGAATTGAAAGAGCAACGACATCCAGAATTGATTCATATAATGACACTATCAGATACACAAATAAGGCAAACATGAAAGAGGGAACGAGTGATCTATGCTGATTTGAGAGCGGCATTATTGTAAATGGGATGGAGAACATGACCCTCAGTTGGTTCGACATGCACCCACTTGCGGCCGCTCAGCTTATGTCGCTCAAACTTAACTTTCCCCTCCTTTAGAGCATAGAGAGTGTGGTCCTTGCCCATGCCTACATAGTCACCAGGGTGGAACCGAGTGCCCCTTTGCCGGACAATAATATTTCCAGGAATCACTTTCTGCAATTTTGCACAAAATGATCCAATTTAAACCATAAAGCCCCATAAAACTAAATAGCCAGAGAGACAAACCATACAACTTATGCAAAAATAAAGTGACATACATGGTGACAGATCTCATGCAGCCCAACAAATATATAGTGACATCGCATGCAGCCCAACAAATACATAGTGACAGATCTCATTCTTGAGAATTTGTAAGAAATAAGATTTTGAGGTAATTTGCTGGGAAAATTTCAAATTTTTGTTTTTTCTCAAGAAATTTTATAAATTGGGAAAGATAATGGATAAGGCTTATAAAAATAAAATGACAAAAAAATTTAACAGAAATCGGATTTTTTTCCTTAATTTTTCTACAAACTTATTTTGTTTCTTGTAATCCTAGAAATTATCCCTTCACTTGACCTAAAAAATACCCTCCTATAAATTCATGACTAATAGTGTTAGATGAATTTGCGCTTGACATTTTTTAGCAAACCTTCATGTTCTCAAAACGACGAGCAGCTGAAAAGATGGAAAAATAAGAAAGAAATCATAGAAAATAACAAGTGTTCTCCCAAAATCTCGCATAAAATGTAGAACAGAAGATACAAATCACTATCATGCAGAGATAATAAAGAACTGAAAATACCTCGCCTCCAAATTTCTTAACCCCAAGATGCTTGGGCAGGGAGTCTCGACCATTCTTTGTGGAACCCGCAGTCTTCTTTGTGGCCCATCGCTTGAACATCAAGCCCAATGGTCCACTGCTACTACCAGGAACATCTGCATCTCATGTATATGACATCAACAAAAAGTGTGGACTGAGATGTTGACTTATATAATGCATTCCATCTGGATTTGACAATTAGACATTTTACATATGAGAATCAAACATGGCATCTTTGCATTGACCTCCCTACTTCCCTCCCTCCCTCTCTATGACACATGCATACACACGAAGTTGCCCTAACCCTTGAATAGAAGGAGATGCTCAGAGGCATAGAACCTCACTGTCATAACTCGGAAGCAATTTCGGAACTAAATTGCAGATTGCATCAAACCAATTCTATTCAACAAATCATAGAAATACACAAATTTGGTATGACATGATCAAATGCATGAAAGGGGAGAGTCAAACTCCTGATCACGATAATTAGCATGAAAATTCTTTACAATATGGATTCTAATGGGAATTTCATATTTTCTCTAGTTTGTAAAATAGCTCTGCAGGTCAAGGAATCATTAGTTATTGGGTGCGGTTTGTATAGAGCCGAGGCTCTAAACAATCAAAGTAAAGTGCACCTTCAAATAGTGTCGAGAAACGTGGTTTCAATACTGAAAATCTTTGTGATAGCCTTAAAATATATTTTAATCATTAATTATCAAATTTAAAGCTTAAAAAATGGTGTAGATCAAGCAGATCTATGAAAACCTGAAAATCTTGAAAATCGATAGTCCAAAAATACATTACAAGATGCACTATTTCCAAAACTTAAAATCTATTTTTTTTCTCATGTTCGTGCATCTTGATGTCGAGATGCTCAATTTAAGAATATTTGAGCATCAAAACTAACCTCTTCTAGTGAAATTTTGTAGGTGGGCTCTAATTTGATTGTTTAGAGCCTCGGCTCTATATAAACTTTTTCTTTAGTTATTACATAAAGTCCAAATCCAGAGAGAATGATTTCAAATGTGTTTCTAGTCTCATATGTAGGACCAACAAAAGCAATTTCAGTACCACTACCTATAAAGAAGGTGCATAATTCAGTCTACATCCAGCTTAACCATTACACCTTTTTTTTAGCCATCTTGACCATTACACATTAATGATTTAATTCGTTGAAAATACCCTAATGGTGAGTTAACTCTCTTCCACACTTTCTTATTGACGACGAAAACCGAATTTAAATTTTCTCAAGTAAATTCTACACAAACGTAATACAGTCAAGAGTTTTGCTTGGAGATGATTTTCTTTCTAAATGCCTTTGCCCAATATATACATACCAATGTAACTTCAATAATTCCTCAATTCCAAGTCTCAAGTAAGAAAGAAAAAAATAATAATAATAGCAGTTTGCAACAAGTAAATATAAATGAGAACAAGTAAAACAATAACTGAGTTAAATCTTAACTAGAAACATAAGTGGCATCGGATGGTTATGGAATTTACCATGGAGACCATACAAGGAGGTATTTTTCACTAGCTCTTTGAGACCAACTCGAGAGCACAGAGTTGTAATCATTTTGGTGAACTATTGTTCTTATAGAAGACCTGGCCACATTTTTTATGGAGAACTTGATTAGTATCTGGCAACATTCATCAAATGGAAATATGGATATCAAATCTTAATATAAAAATCAAAAGCCAACTATTAACTGCATCGAATTGCACTTGAAATTATGAAAGTTTAAACATCATAGAACTTTTTGCATCAAATATTCATGAACACCAATGAAGAACAGTTACTTTATTACTCTAGTAAGGTTTGAGAGCAGTATTTCAACATCATCTGGATGTGTGCTACAGAAAACAAGGTAGAATTGACAGAAATCAAATAAAACAAATTCCGCATATACCAAACATTCAAATATTGAGAAGTAGAAGATCAACATAAAAGGTAGGACACGAAAAAGAAACATATATCAAATGAATAACTACAAAAATACCATCTGACGGTAATACAAGTCCTTCTATGATGAACTTGTCCAACATCGCAATATTCAGCATTTTATATATCGGCATCATATATGGAATTTGGACGATAGCATATAGATTAACTGAAAATTTAACAATAGTGCGAGGGAGAATGAGCCACTTTTACACAAGTCACACGACACATTACCAGCACTAGAAAATGTAAAGGGAAAATCACATACATTTCACTGGTTATATTGGTTCTACAAAAATGGATACAAAACTCAATACAAGAGAGGCCTTTATAAATTAGTTCAAATGAACAAATTGTGACTAAAGTTGCGGCCAAATAGAGAGTGAATAGACAATCTTGCCTAAAATTACACTTTACAAAACTAAATTTTATCTAATTTCAACCCAATTTGACCAGGAAAATCAATTTATGTCTAATTAATTTCAGAAACAACTGAAGGTGTAAGAGCTAATTTTAAGATTCCAACCATTGTGTTGGTCCAGATAAAAATAACTGACAAATTTCGTTAATGCATTCAGTAAAATTCCAGACCTCTTATCTTCCCCTTGGGGAAAGAAAACTCGAACCAATGTTTGAAGCCTAGAGAGTTTGACACCACAAAATTCACAAAAGTGATAACAATGATATGAAAAGGTTCAGGCTTTTTTTTTTTGTGAATTGAAGAGGCTCAAGTTTAATAATAAACATAATCATTTTGATCTACGACGATAAAAATTACCAATAAAACAATAACAAGAATAAGAAGTTAACATTCTCCAAACAAAAATCAGCAACTAAGGGTCAATAGTAATAATGATGATGATGATGATGATGACGACAACGACAATGACCATGATGAAAAACCCAAACAGCTATATGGTCTTAAATCCTGGACACACAATTGTACTTTTCAGAAATCAATCAACATAAAAAATGATTAAACTATGTTTCTTTTTTTCTATTTTTGTGGATCGCCAAATCTCAAATTTGAAAAGGAAAAGAATGAAAAGCAAAAGCACATTCTAAGGTTTTCTGTCACCAAAAACAATAATGAAAAGAATAATGATATGGGAAATCGACAAATGTAAAAGTTCTAGGTTCAATGAAATCAATCGAAAGTAAAGAAGGGGAAACTGAATGGCCTTCAACATAGGAAATGGTCTTCTCCATCACAAAAGCACAAAATATAATGCATCATTGTACCATTAATCAGCATTTTGAATCTAAACCCCAAAATTCCCAATAAAGAGACAATATTTAAACCCTTATTTTCATTGAACCTGGGAAAGAGTATAAACCCTAACCCTCTAAATCGCGAACTAACCAAGCAATCAAATTGAGAACCCTAACCTTAAGCCTAATCCTGAAAAGAAGAGGATACTCGGATTTGTGGCGTACCTTTAGGAATGTTTTGATGGAAGCACACTGAAGCCTGAAATGTTTAATCTAAGTTAAAGCTGCTGCTAGTCTCGCGAAAATTACTAAGCTGCCCCTGAATTGAGTCTCACAAATTTACTGCCGGTTTTGGCTTTATTTAATGGAAAAGCTTTATATGGAAATGTTCCATGAGTCAGCGGGTGCAAAAGCCCTCAGACTCTTCAACGTCCATCTTAAAGATGAACGTTGTGAAAAGCCAACAGGGTCAAATCAGATATGAACGGGTGCCAAAATATCCCCAAAAATAGCACATTTTAAACTTCCAATGTTTTTTTTTTTTTCATATTTATGATCAACTTCGCTTAGATGATAAATCCCTAAAATTTTGGGTCAAAAATCGATCTTTAAGATGATTTTTAGAAGGGGGTCGTACATGTACATATTAGTCAGCTGACTCATAGAAACCACATCCATTTTGTATATATGCAATAGAAATAAGCTACACCTCAAAAACTCGTTCAAAAATTACGTTTTGATACCGAAAACCCCTCCAATTCATCATCTTGATCTCGAGACGTATGGGTGTGAAAGAAAAAGATATTAAGTCTTAAAAATAGTGCATCTTGTAATCTATTGTCTCGACTGTTTATTCCAAGGTTTCTGAGTGTTCATAGATTTACGCGATCCACACTATTTTTTATGCTTTAATTTCATAATTAGATTAAAAATAGATTTGCACAACATCGTAGGGATTTTCTTCACTTGAACAACATCTTTCAGCATCATTTTAGGGTATGCCTTACTTTGAATGTTTAAGGTGCCAGCCTTATACAAACCTCACCCTTATTTAAATTTGAGGGTGTATAGCACAAAAAAAGTGTATTTTATATTGTATGTAAAGTTATAGAGATTTTCTAGGACGATAGGGGTGGCAATGTATCGGATCGGGTCTCGGTTGGCCCCAACCCGAACTCGGACCCAAGTCTAGAATTATAAATACAAAATAAAAAATTTATTTAAAATATTATTTAATATATATTTTATACCAGGTCAGCTCGGGTCAGTCAACCTCAACCTCGACCCTACCGGATAGAGTCCATGGTGGACCCGGACCCTAGCAGGGTCCTAGTCATTTGGACTTGGACAAGACCAGCTGAATCTAAAACATGAACCCAAACCCAGTTTTGGTCGACCCGGAGGATGAGTTGACTCGATCTGATTGCCACCCCTATTGGATGAGTGGGATCTAATACTCTGATGATGATTTTCACAAACAGCACATCAATCAATTTCTGGCCTGGGGTTATTTGGTTGCCTCTTATAAAATCATGGATTGAGCAAAAAATGCCAAGTTTCAAAAACTCGACTTGGGTTCACGACTTGGGCTTGCCCAAGCCAAGTAACTCATGTGAGTAACGGGACAAAAAAGGCTCTAATAATAAATAAATAAAAAACGTAATCGCAATAAGAATTAAAGTAACAAAAAAAATGGTAGTAAAAGTTGAAATTAAAAAAAAATAATATATATATATATATATATATCATAGATTTAGAAAAGTTGATTTATCGCTGGAGGCCTTTCATAAAATTTCAAAAAATAGAAAATATAAAAATAGGATCTATAACAAACAATACTCACAAATCATCTAAAAAATATCAATATTATTTAATATTGATACATTGATTTTTCATTTTAGTATGATTACCATGATTTTTATTTTTAAGTATTCTCAAGTTCTATCTGAGTATTCAGCTCAGTAACTCAATTGAATCCGAGTTGACTCAACAAAATCTCTAAACACTGTAAAATTCATTTTTGTGTTGTTTTGTTATTTTCCTTATTGTGACTAATTTCTATGTGTGTGTGTGTGTTTGTGAGAGAGAGAGAGAAAAAAAAAATAGATAAAACAAGTTTTGCAGCTCTCTATCTTTTCGTACATTATGTGTAATATTTTTTGTTTGGGTGTGGTTTGTAGAAGCTGTCAACCTTAAACAATCCAAGTAAGGCGCACCTCCAAAGCTCATCAAAAGATGTAATTCTAGTGTCAAAAAATTCAATAATGACCTGAAAAACTACTTAACATCTAATTATGAAAAACTAAAAAAATGATACACACTGAAAAGATCTACAAACACATGACAATCTTGAGAATGGACGGTCTAGATATTGTATTACAAGATGTAGTATTTTTGGGAGTTTAAAATCTTTTCTTCTTACATCCATATGTCTTGAGGTCAAGAAGATCAATTGGAGGATTTTTCCGCATCAAAGCAACCTTTTTTGATGGATTTTTAAAGCGTTCTTTCTTTCTACATTGTAAGGTATATAAACTTTTTGTTTGTTTGTTTATGTAGCTGTGTTTATTTTATTGTCATGCAACTGATATCATAACAGGATCTCCTTTCTCTACAAAGTTAACTGATACTCAAAAAAGATATCACAACAGGATCTCCTAATGATTCAATGTAATAAGCTAGGCAGCCAGTTTCCCCTTACGTTATTTTTCTTTCTTTTTAAGGTTTATAAGGCCTAGCCTGGACAAGAAAAGGGCTTTTTTTTATGACTATAAGGCCTGACCCGGACGGGGCCAGGGTCTCTTCGACCTGATATAGGCCTTGCCGGGCTCAAGCTGATCCTATATAAACTAGCACAGGACTAAGATTGGGGCTCATCAGGCTCATTGCCAGCTCTAACAACCTGGGAAGGCAATTTTCCTCCTCATGAATGTCACCAATTTTTTCCAAAGGAGTCTGATTCATGCATTACTTTTATTTTTTTCACTCAATCACTCAGTTCCAACCACTTCTTATATCCAATCAATATTGTGTGGAAAAAGCACCACATTAGTTCTAATCACTTCCACGTAAAATAAAGAATAAGCACCTTCTTATTTTCGAAATTATTGTATATGAATTTTATTATTTAGAATATAGTTAAAGGTAATGTAGAATAAAGTTTTTTTTTTTTACGAATTTAAATTATTTGATCATCCACTTCATGTCTCCCCCTCAAATTGGTTCTTTTTTAATACAAAGGATATTGGATATTCATGGGGTGAGTGATACAGTGATACTCTATGATTTCCAAAGAACAATGGGATCGCCTAAGGAATTAAATCACTGAGAGAGAGAGGGAAGTGTGTTTCAGCAAGATGGCTTGGCTCAAAACCTTAGAAATGGAATGTTAACAAACTCGCATGAGTATTATCTAAATTAGTGAAGGAATAGAATCAACAGTATTTTGGAGAGAAGATTGATGTGAAAGAGGAAGGGTGAGGTGCCTAAAACCTCAGAGCTGGAGAGGAGAAGAACTAGCATGTTGCTTATGACTGCATCTTGTGCAATCTCCTAGAACACGGAAGGATTCAGAAGTTAGGGAGTTTGAGTTGAAACTGTTGTGCATACAAGCTCTAAAAACCCGATGGGTTATGTTTTGGCAAAGTAAAGAGTGAGAAAAACACAATAAGCCACACATAAGCAATACCTGAGAAAAACAAAGCAAGAAGAAATCGTACAAACAAAAACACCAAGACTTTACGTGATTCCTCAAACCCGTACTCATCTCTCTCCCCTAAGCATTACTTCTCTACTCTCTTCCACATCCCCACTAATATCTCCCTCTCTAGCCTCCTCAAACCCTTACTCATCTCTCTTCCCTAAGCATTCTCAGCAGCCAGTAAGTAGGGCTCACGCCTTACCACCTTGCTCTATTACCCCTCTTTAAGGCCTCTTCAGACCCCACCCTCCACCACTTCTCCAATGCTGGACAAAGCTCTGGTAAGGATCTCATGAACGAGTACAGCTAGCAGATATTTCAAAGGTTCATACTTATCAGCACTCTTTGAGAAGAAGGGCTGCTTAACTTACACCGCAGCTATTACCTAGTAGCAGCCACCGCTGATCCTACCTAGAAGCAGCCACCATGGATACTTTACCGAAGAAGCACTCCCTTCTGCTTTTACGATAATCTCTCTCTTTCTGTTTCTCTTCTCAAAAGCAAGGCAATTGTACTCCTCGGGTCTTAGCAACACTCCAAGACAACAACAGAAGAAAAAGCTACAAACTCAAAGACCCTGACTTTAAGTTTCAGCAGCCCCAACTTATACCCCGCATGGTACCCCCCACAGTTCTGCAGTGCGTTACAAAGGCTTTACAATAAAATTCTGGTGTTGATACGCTCAGGATGAAGACAGCCAATAGTTTTCTTGAATCACTTTCTTTTAGAATTGTAATGAACTTAGCATGTAATTTCTTTTCTTTTTCTTTCCTCTCGCTCTCAATTGTATCTCTCTATTCCCCCTCTACCTCTTTTCCCACATATTTCTCCTAGTTCCCTCTTGTTTTTTTGGTTGTATACAGAGCACCCGACCTGTGGGCTGCCTTTTTTGATATATACGGAGCATCCAAATTATGGATTGCCATTTTTTGGATACTTTTTGTAAACTTTACCTTTTTATACAAAGTTAACATTTCTAAAAAAAATTTGCAAAAAATGGTTACTAGAACTAATTTCATAAAAGCGAAAATTTAGTGGGCTTGATCATTTCCATTTGAAACATAAATGCAAGTAAATTTCAGATGAAAATGAGAGAGTTTAGTGAATACTTGTGGCTCAGAGCAATGGCGACTCCCAAGATGGATAAAAGAATGCAGGCACAAGCGGACCCTAGAAAGGTTTCTAGCGCTCAAAGCTCTGCTTTTGCAGTCAGGCTAGGAAGAGAAGAAACGTGAGTCATGAAAAATGTCTACGGTTTCCATTTGGTGAAGGCGATGGGTAGGGCTCAAGGAGTGCTTGGGGTTAGAGACAAAAAAAAGTGGGTACAGGTAAGAGGATCACAGTCTCGGATTTGCAGAGAGAGAGGTATTTCGGGATTTAAGAGAGATTTGCAGAGATAGAGAGAGAAGGTTAGGGCTTCAGAGAGAAGACAGTACAGAGAGATAGGAAGCGCAGGAAAGAGAAAGAGAGAGAGAAAGGAGAGCAAGAGATATATTGTGGAGATAGAGAGAGGGATTTGCATATATAGAGGGAGAAGGAAAGATAGCCAGAGAGAGACGGTTTGCAGAGATGGAGAGAGGGGGATTTACATGTAGAGAGAGTATGAAAGAGGAAGCAATAGAGCAATACAGGTAGGGTTTCAGAGAGACGACAGGAGAGAAAGAGAGAGTACCTGGTCCGGTGAGCGGTTAGGAAGAGCTATTATGCAGGAGTAGGGAGCACGGTGGTGAGATGAGCGCGTAAATAAAGGACCCGGTTTCTATGCGACCAAGCCCGCATATATAGAAATGCGGGCCTATTAATAAATCTATTTTTGAGATTGATTTTGAGATTTAAGGACGTGTAATCTCTAAAGATCATGAATATGAAAAAATAAATATATTTTTTAAACTATAAATAATCATTTAAATAAAAAAACATTTGACCCGTAGGTTTCATCTTTCAACACAATATCTAGACTATCAATTCTCAAGAGTTTATGTTTCTAGATCTACTTGATTTTAATTATTTTTAAGTTTAAAATTTTATAACTAGAGATAACAATAGATTTTTAGATAATCCTAATAAAATTTTATACCAAAATTACATATTATGATAAAATTTGGCGGTGCGGATTGTTTAAGGTTGCAACCGTATAAAAATCGCACCCTACAAAAATTATTCCATGTTACAAGTTTCATACGAATCAAACGAAGCCTTGCACGCCTATACAAGTAAGGCGCACCTTTAAAAATTACCGAAAGATGTAGATATGGTATTGGAAACCTTATAGTTGCTTGAAAATCCATATTCGTTCTAATTATGAAACTTAAAATTTCAAAAATAATGTAGACTAAGTATAATTATAAACACTTAAAAACTTGAAAATAGATGGTTCAGATACCTTGTTACAAGATACATTATTTTTAAGTATTGAATTATTTTCTTTTTCTTTATCTTTATATCTCGAGGTCGAGATGATTAATTGAAAGGAACACTCTTTTCTATTAGATTTTAGAGGTGCACCTTACTTCTATAGTATAAAATTGCAACTTTATATAAACTTATTTTATTTTTTCTCATTAAGTCTAGAGCCATTCATCTAAACTCACATGAGCCATTCAAAACAAGCACTTGATACAAGTAAATAATAGTCTCAAATCCCAAGCAGCCTATGTAAGATGCGCTTTTAGTTTTCCTATTCTTTTTGGATTGATTTACGGAAAATTGTTTTATTTGGGCTCGACCTCATTTCTATGTATGTGGTCCAGAAAGTGTAAAGTATCCATCTTAAATATTGATCCAAATAGGTGTTCCATCAAAAAGACAATGGAAACTAAAGGTTCAAGTGTTTGTTTACTAGAATTATTATTTCTAGTTTTTGAAACTTATTTGTTTTTTCATTTTCATAATCTAGAGATCATATGTCTTTAAAAATCAAATCTTAAAATCCATCTATAAAATAGATTTATTAAAAGAAAGTTATTTCATACGGATTGAACCGCATTTCTATATATGCAGTAAACAAAATGTAAAACATCCATCTTAATAGATGTTCCATCTAAACATACTCAAAATATATATATTTTTCATACTCATACAACTCAGATGATCAATTAAAAGATTTTTCAACTTTAAAACAACCTATTTTAATGGATTTATTAGGTACATCTTTAATGCTCAAATTTAAATATAAACTTTTTCCATTTTCATATGGAACGATACAGTTACGCGTGTTTGCTTCCTGCCTAAAGCCAATGTAAATTTATCTCATGGGACAAAGTTTTACCGCAATAAAGAGCAAATGTTTGGAAACGTAATGCCCACGTCAGTAGGTGGGGAGTATGTTCCCGGAAATTATCACTTGCACGGACCCGATATAACGTTCCGTTGGCGTGCCACCGCGAGGGCCTCTCTCACAAAACCCTCTCCAGTCTCTCTCAATGCCCTAAAATCCCTGCTCTCTCTCTCTCTCTCTCTCCCTGCGTCCTCTCATTTGCAGGGGATGCATCTTCTTCTCTCTCTTATCCGATGCCACAGAATTGGCAGCCCCCACACCAAAATACCATTTCTCTCTCTTCACCCATCAACTATCTCCAAGGTGAATCCTTTCTTTTTCTTTTTTCTTTTCTTTTTTCTTTCTTCTCACTAGGTCTACTTTTACCCTAAATTGGATTTCTCCTGCAATCTTTGTTTGACAACTGAATTGGATAGCCTTTTGCCCCATGATGATTTTTTCCATTATTTGGCATTGCATGGTTAAATTTTGAGAATTTACTTGTTTCACATTGTTTTCTCATTTTTTTAAAAGACTTTCTCAAACGAAACATCAACCCTTCTGATTTTCCACTCTTAAATTTGTAGATAAAGCTCCTACAGCACGGTTTGCATGCTTATATTGAAATAGCATGTTACATTATTTTCTTTTTGTTTATTGGTTTTTCAAAAATCGATTTGGTTCAGTCTTATATTTGGTTCGTGGGAGCAGTTATTGATTCAGTCTTATATTGAGGTAAGCAGTTATTGATTCATGGAAGAATTCGCTAGGCTGTGACTTATATTGAAAATGGATTATCTCTGTTTTCTTACAAACTTGATACTTCTTGTAGAGCGTGGTTTGCATGCTTCTCTTGGCATGGTCTTGTTCATTGCATTTTTATTTAATTTTGAAAAAAATAGATTCAATTTCAGTTTCTCATTTGCGGTAAAGAGTTATTCACTCTCTCTCTCTCAATCCAAAGCGTGGTTTGCATGCTTCTCTTGCCATGGTCTTGTTCATTGCATTTTTATTTAATTTTGGAAAAAATAGATTCGATTTCAGTTTCACATTTACGGTAAAGAGTTATTCATGGAAGAGTTATTCTCTCTCAATTCATAGTTTCAGTGAGAAGATGTATGTTTTTTTTTTTTACCTATTTTATTGAAGCTTGGCTTCATGGGTAGTCATAGATATTATGTAGATGGGTTCAGGGTAATAAGTTTCTAGGGTGGTTTGGTTTGTTTTTGTTCATTTTATAGCTAGAGAAGTGGGACAACTGCTGGTTTCGGGGTTTCAGTTTATTGGTTTTTTAGTTACTGTTCCTTCTCTACAATGACCCAATTTTTAGGGTTTATTGGAATGATGGTTTTTCTATATGGATCATTGTTCTCACCAATTTGAGGTTTGATTTAATGCAAAATATGGTATTTAGATTTTAGAGACAATAATAATGTGATTACTAATGGCAAGTAAGCTTCGAAACGAAAAGTGTTAGTGGATGGATAAGGATTGGATAGGTGGGTGCTAGTTAAAAGAACTTGGTTCTTTCTTATGAACCTGTTGGGAAAAAAAACTTGATCTTTTCTTGTGGATTTTCTATTTAACTTACTCAGAGAATGGGATTGCTTTTAGGGACTTGGGTTTTATTAAATATGGTACCACGATTCTGTCAAGTTTTATGCCAGCTGCCAACCTGACACAACCCTCCTCCTTTCTCTGGGCTTGGGATCGGCATGACCGGCTTGGGACTGGCTATGGCAGAGTTGAACTGGCTTAGGGCCAGCTTTGGCCTGGCCATTGCTCTAGAATGAAAAATCTTGTGCCCCTTGGTGATTTGTAAGGAGGATACTTTCCCAGAGAGGCTTGTAGATGCGCTTTTGAATTTCCTATTTAAACTGAAATTTGGTTTTTTGATGTACACTGGTCCTTTATGTGCCATGCTGTATCTATTGATAGAGCTCAAGTCCCATAGCATGTTTCAACCTATTTCTTCAATTTTCTGAAAATAAAACACATTTCAAGTGTTATGTCATGTATTATGTGTTAAATCAAACATCGGTCCTATTCCAACTAACCGAATGATTATTTTCTCTCGAATTGAAGACTTTCAAATTTTCATTTCATTTAAAATTATTTGTGTTTCCATTTTTTCCCTTCATTTTCATGTCTTATTGTCATCATGTTTAAGGTTTTAGAGGCAGAAAGTATACCATATGGAAGTGTTTCCTGTGGTCAAAACTAGGATTTAGTTTGTGGTTTGTTAGAAATAGAGGAAATAGTAATAGTAGTAGTTGTTGGATCCATTTTGATATGAAGCTAGGTTTCTCTAGGAAAATCCCACCCTTGTTGTTGTTGTTGGATCCATTTTGATATCAAGACTAGGTTTCTCTAGGAAATTCCGCCCTTTTTCTGTGATTTATTGTTAACTTGGTTTTGGTGTCCACTCTGTGTCATTGTGTATATCATCTTCATGCATGACTAAATTCAGCTGCTGACTGATGTTCTAAAGTTAGTTCTAATTGAAGCTCCGCTCCTATTTTTGAATTAGGGTTCATTTGATATGAAGGGTTCCCATTTGTTGTTAATTAGGGTTTAATTACTGTGTTAAATTGTATGTGTCATGCCTAATTGGATTCACCTTTCATCAAATAGGGCTCACTCTACTCTCTGTTTTATTGTGTCCATCATGCCTTCGTTGTTGAAGTTTTGAAATCTTGATTGTTTGATACTGCTCTATCCATATTTCAAATTCTAAATGAAGATTGTTCTCTTTCAGATTATAAGAAGAACGGATTTTAAGGGGTAATTATACAATAAGGATCAAGTCTTTGTTTGAATTTGTTGCTTTTTTATTTTTATTTTTGGCTTATTTTATTGAGTATAGGAGCACAATTTGCTTTGTAGAAAAATGTCGTTTCTTTTTGTTGTATTTTTTCTGTTTTTTAGAGAGAGAGAGAGAGAGAGAGAGAGAGATTTCATGAATTTTAAAACTTTAATGTTTAAAATTTTAGTGCAGTTGATCGTTTTCGGCAATATCGGTGAGATCCTCATTTTCTACAGAGCAAACTGTGGTAAACTAATTAGTTTACTGTCTTTCTATTTTTGAGGGATTTCTGATAATTATAACCTTGATTAATTTCTTTTATTTGAGGGATTTCAGAAAATTTATTAATTTTGAAGTGAAAATTTGATGAATTTTGATGCGAAGGCCTTAGCAGAGAGTTTAAAATGCTCTCAATATTTGAAGTTTGAAAATTTAATGAGTTTAAAATGCTCTCTTTTTTTGATGAAATTTAATTATTAAATTAAATTTCACTTTCAATATTTTCTTTTGATTGATATCATGTACTCCAATAGAAAAACTAATGAACTTGCATTTCAGATTACGTTCACACTCTTCCCAGTTATTTGTCACTGGTTGCTTAGACATTCTATATGTCATGAGTATCTACGATTAGTGTTGGGAGAAAGTTCAATGCAGCCATCTTGTGGTCGCACTGATTAGGCCTCTGATGACAGTTGTTAGATATATATTTTGACATCGTAGGTTACATTTTGAATATTGTTAATAGCTTGCACCAGAAGGAAGTATATCTTTCATCCAGTATGTTCAAGTTCATCCTTGTTCCTGAGGGAGGTGTTGCGGCCCCATCCTATGTAGGTTACTTTGGTGATATTTGAAAAGGCACTTTGACATTGTAGGTTCCATTTTGAATATTGTTAATAGCTTTCACCAGGAGGAAGTATATCTTTCATCCATTATGTTTGAGTTCATCCTTGTTGTTCCTGAGGGGGAGGTGTTGGGGCCCATCCTATGTAGGTCAGTAGGTTGCTTTGGTAATATTTGAAAAGGGATGCTGAACTTAGTTGTCATGATTCTTGTTAATAATGATGGTTTCCATTGTTGTTAGAGGCTTGGAAACCTCTCTTTTCTTTTCAGTGCATCTATAGTCATGGCTTACACCTTATATCATACCCGATTATTATATTTTACACCTTATATCATACCCGATTATTATTTTTATTTAATAAGTGAACCAAACTTATGATCTAAACTGTCCATTTTTTTTCAAACATAATATAGATTAAATGTTTTAAAAAAATCATCTTAATTGGATGGATGTCGATATCAAATCATCTATATTGCAATAAAATGGCTAAAAGTAGGTATCAATCTAGATTCTGGGAGATAGTTTACCGATGGGTTACCAAACATAAAAAACTGGGTACACAGGAATTCCAAACATGTGAACCAAACATGGAAAAAAACAGGATTGGAAAATTCTTGCACAGGGAACTGTTTACATATGAAAACTGTTTTATATATGCAAATTGTTACGCATGAACCAAACGAGCCCTTGGTCTTTTCTTGTGCATTTTCTCCTTTTAACTTACTGAGAGAATGGGATTGCTTTTAGGGAGTTGGGTTTTAGTAAACCTGGTACCACAATTCTGGCGAGTTTTATGCCGGCTGCCAACCTAAGACAACCCTCCTCCTTTCCCCGGGCTTGGGACCAGCATGACTGGTTTGGGACTTGGGACTGGCCATTGCAGAGTTGAACCGGCTTAGGACCAGCTTTGGACCAGCCATTGCTCTAGAATGAAAAATCTTGTTCCCCTTGGTGATTTGTAAGGAGGATACTTACCCAAAGCGGCTTGTAAATGCACTTTTGAAGTCCTTATTTAAATTGAAATTTGTTTTTATGATGTACACTGGTCCTGTATGTTGTGCTGCATTTATTGGTAGTGTTCAAGTCCCATAGCATATTTCAGCCTGTTTCTTCAATTTTCTCAAAATAAAACATATTTCAAGTGTTATGTCTCGTATTATGTGTTAGATCAAACATTGGTCCTGTTCCAACTGACCGAACAAGGTTATTTTCTCTCGAATGAAGACTTCTGAATTTTCAATTCATTTAAAATCATTTGTATTTCCATATTTTCCCTTCATTTTCATGTCTTATTGGCATCATGTTTAAGGTTTCAGAGGCAGAAAGCATATCATATGGAAGTGTTTCCTGTGGTCAAAACTGGGATTTAGTTTGTGGTTTGTTAGAAATGGAGGAAATAGTAGTAGTAGTAGTAGTTGTTGTTGTTGTTGTTGTTGTTGGATCCATTTTGATATGAAGACTACGTTTCTCTAGGAAAATCCCACCCTTGTTGTTGTTGTTGTTGGATCCATTTTGATTTGAAGATTAGGTTTCTCTAGGAAAATCCCACCCTTGTTGTTGTTGTTGTTGTTGTCCTTGGATCCATTTCGATATGAAGACTAGATTTCTCTAGGAAAATCCCACCCTTTTTCTGTGATTTATTGTTAACTTGGTTTTGGTGTCTACTCCATGCCATTGTGTATATCATCTTCATGCATGACTAAATTTAGCTGCCAAGTGATTTTTTAAAGTTAGTTCTAATTGAAGCTCTACTCCTTTCATATTTGAAATAGGGTTTATTTGATATGAAAGGGTTCCCATTTGTTGTTATTTATATTTTAATTACTATGTTATATTGTGTGTGTCATGCCTAATTGGATTTATCTTCCTTCAAATAGGGCTCAGTCTACTCTGTATTTTATTGTGTCCATTCCTTCCTCACTAATGTTTTGAAATGTTGATTGTTTGGCAGTGCTTTATCTATATTTCAAGCTCTAAATGAAGATAGTTCTTTTTCAGATTTAAAGAAAAAAGGATTTTAAGAGGGAATCATACAATAAGGATCAAGTCTTGGTCACAGTAATTCAAAAGATTTGAAAAATGTCAAGCAAGAAAGAGGAAAAGGCGCAGGTTGCTGCCGACCGTATCAAGGCAGCAGCATTGACTGCCGCCAAAGGGCTCAGCCGTGCTCAAGCTGAGCGAGCTGCCGCTGCTGCTGCAAGGAATGTGAATGCGTATGGTCAGAAAGAGGAGGGCCCGAGTCGATGGCAAGAGAGAAAAGAAGCGAAAAGGCAAATGTACTTAATGAGTACTGAAAAGGCCGTGAAATTAGGAGAGAGGAAGGACCTCAAGGCCACCATCTCTTTGGGGGCTTCCTCCTCTCAATGCCAGAAGTGCTTCCAAGCAGGTCATTGGACATACGAATGCAAGAACGAGCGTGTGTATATATCACGTCCCTCAAGGACCCAACAACTCAAAAACCCTAAATTGAAAATGAGGCTCTCGGTTTCATATGAACTTGACAATCCCGACAATCCCTTACATGGGTCAAACCCCAAAGTGGGTCAATCTGAAAATGGTGATGGGAAGAGCAAAAAGAGAGGAAAGAAGACAAGGAGAAAGCATGACTCAGATAGTGATAGTAAGAGTGAAGCCTCTGTGTTTTCCAGTGATAGTGGGGTTTCTAGTGAGGATGGTTCAGGTTCTGATTATTCATCTGATGCAAGTTCAAGTTACAGTTCTTCGGAGTCTGACTCTGATGATCGTCGGCGTTCTAAGAGGAAGAAAGAGAAAATGAGGAAGAAGAGAAGGCATCATCGAAAGTACAAGAGCTCTACCGATTCTACAGATTCAGACTTCACTTCTGATTCTGACTCTGATTCTAATGATAGGCAAAGAAAGGGCAAGAGACATAGCAAGAGGCGTTGATTTGGTGGCCTTGGATTCGTTGCAATTTTACTCTTTTTGTATGTCGCTCCTAGGTTCTTATGAAGACGGTATTTGTTAAGCATGTTTTCCATTTATTAATTGCTGACTATGGAGCTTGTTGCAGTTGATGGGTTTCTCTCTAGAGCCAAGGTATTAAATAGATATTTTGTGAATACACAGATGATGAGCATGTGTTCATGGGATGCTTTTTCTCTCTCTCTCTTTCTCTCTCTCTACCCGCACACACACTTGAACACATGCTTTTTGTATTAATTCTAAATGTGTTGTGATTTATGAATATCTATTAATGTAATTGCCACTGGTTTTGTTTGAGAGAGCTAGATATGGTGTAGCATACAGGTATGCTAAAATATTGGTTTTGGAATTGCTAATATATCATCTGTATTATTCTTTTTTACTCTACTATCGTATGCAATTTGTTTGGTTATTATAGGTGCATTAAAACCATCTGAGTATATTGCACAGTCCCGTCAACAAATCGGAGTAATCCAATTAATTACCTGCAAGATCGGGGTGATTGTCCTTCCTGATGCAATCTAATTTGTTTTGCCACCTTAGTTTTCTGCTCCCATGTTGTTCTCCTTCAGTAGCATTCGGTTGTATAGTGGGGAATGATTTCAATGGTTGCATAGTAGTATAATGCAACTATCTGCAAAATTATGGTAGAGACATTTGTTTGACACAAATTTTTAAATGTACACTCTTTTCATTATGAAGAACAATCACAACTTTTGTTTTTTTTTGAAAAAATACTTTAGAAAGGTTTCATTTTAGCTCAATTAATATAAGCCGTTCATTTTATTGAGATGGTTAGATATAGGTTTTAGAAAGATTTTTTTATTTTCAAATTTTTTATATAGTGTTATCATCATTAGATTAATAATACTAAAAAAGAAAAAATGATTTTGAATTTGTTAAAGTCTAGATCTTGAAATTCACGATGGATGGTCGAGATTCATTGTTGGATGGGTACTAATTTTGCTTATATCTAGGGTGCAAATTGAATTTTTTTCTTCATAGGATTGATTATGAGGATGAAGAGAATGTGTGTGCAAAATTTGGGATCATGCAAATGCCAAAAATATGGTTTTCTAGAAGTGTGGTTGCATTTGAGGTCATACAAATGCCAAGAGGGCTTGAACCCTCTGCGACCATAACGGCTTTCGGTTAACTGTGATGCCTTCACAAATTTATGACTAACGTAAAAGGTAATTTAATAATAAAATAAAACATAAACAGTGGTGAAAAGGGGTATGAATGAGGCTTTGGAAATTTTGAAGTTTATTTATGGGATTGTCTACAAATAAACCAATTTATCTTTGGGTTTGTAAAAGGTTGAGGCTCTAAACAATAAAAATAAGGTACACCTTCAAATAGTATAGAAATATTTTGTTTCAGTACTAAATATATTATTTATGATGGCCTGACAATTTATTTTATATATGATAATAAAATTTAAAGTTTAAAAAATGGTGTAGATCGAACAGATATATGAACAATTAAAACTCTTGAAAATTGATTGTCTGGATAAATACATTACAAGATACATTATTTCAAGACTTGAAGTCTTTTTTTTTTTTAGGTCCATGTATCTCAAAGACAATGTGATCAGATATGAGGGTTTTTTTGCATTGAAAAAACTTTTTCTAGTGAATTTTGAAGGTAGGCCCTAATTTGATTCTTTAGATCCTTAGCTTTATATAAACTTTTTCCTTTATTTTCTTTGTACAGGAGGTTACAATCATTCTCACTCATTCGATGTTAAATTTGACGGCTTAGGGCGAGCCACGAAATCCGATAATTTTTTTTTTGAACTTTGTGCAATGACAATCATACAACCACCTATTTTGACATTTAAGGGACAATAATGATTGTGACTTCCTTGTACTATAGATAAATGGTCTCTTTGTAGACAGTTCTTTATTTATAATAATTTTAATATAAAGGGATATTTTTTATAAATAAAAGTTCATATAAAATCGAGGTCCTAAACAATCAAATTAGAGTGCATCTCAAAAATTCTATTAGAAGAGGTTGTTTGATGCCCAAATATCATCAAATTGATCATCTCGACATCAAGATGTATGGACATGAGAAAAAAATAGATTTTAATTTTTGGAAATAGTGCATCTTGTAACCAATTTTTGGACCGTCAATTTTCAAGATTTTTAAGCTTTCATAGATTGAAAATATAATTTAAAGCTTTCATAGATTGAAAATATAATTTAAGGTTTCACAAAACTTTTCAATATTGAAACCGTATTTTTCGATACTATTTGAAGGTGGGCTCTAATTCGATTGTTTAAAGCCTCCGCTCTATACAAACCACACCCTTTTATAATTGCAAAAAGTTTATATAGCGTGAGGCTCTAAACAATCGAACTTGATGTACCTCAAAAATTTCACTAGAATAAGTTGTTTTGATGCCCAAATATCTTCAAATTGATCATCTCGACATCAAGATGAATGGACATGAGAAAAAAAATGGATTGTAAGTTTTGGAAATAGTGTATTTTGTAACACAATTTTGACCGTCAATTTTCAAGATTTTCAAAATTTTCAAGTTTTCATAGATATGTCGGTCTACACTATTTTTTAAGCTTTAAACTTTATAAATAAATATGAAACTATATTTTAAGACTATCGCAAAGATTTCCAATTTTGAAACCACATTTATCGATACTATTTGAATATAGGCTCCAATTCGATTGTTTAGAGCCTAGGCTCTCTACAAACCACACCCTTTATAATTTTCTTTCTTTTTACTTAGGAGAAAAAAAAGTTTATAAGGCCGAGGCCCTAAAAAATTAATCTTGGCCTCAAGATGTATTTTGAAGCCCTTTTCAAATTGATAATCTTGGCCTCAAGATGTATGAACATGAAAAAAAATAGATTTCAAGCTTTAGAAATAGTACATTTTGTAATGTATTTTCAAATCGTTAATTTTTAAAATTGAAAGTATTTATAGATGTGTTCAATATATAATATTTTTTAAAGTTTTAAATTTTAAAATCAGAGACAAAGAATAAATTCGAGGCTATCACATGTATTTCCATATAAACTTTGGACACTATTATTTAAAAGTGCTCGACTTTCACCTTACTGTACATTTACGCCCGTTTGAAAAAGGCGCAAGAAAGGGGGTTAAAAGTCCGAAAGCTTTTATTGGGTTGAATGCGCGGGAGTTTTTACCGAAAACTTTGATCCCGTAAAAAACCAGACGTTCTTCTGTACCCTCTCCGCAATCTCCTTCTGCTTGGAACCGCCCTTCCTTCCGTTCTCTCTCTCTCACCCTCTACGAGCAAGAGCTGGAGAAACCTGTGCGAGCAATAGCTACCTCTGAGCGAGCAATGGCAGCAACCTCTCAATCAGTGAGTTATATAAAGATTTTCCATTTTTTTTCCTTTTTTGTTACTAATTTAAGTTTTCGGATCCTCTCAGGGATTTTTTTAGAAAACTCCGTAAAAAAATTTAGGGCCTTATTTTTTTTCTATTGTAAATCTGCCCTAAAAAAAAATTTAGGGCTTTCCCAATATTTCTCTGTTGTAAATCTCCTGGATTTTATTATGTTTTCTGATTTCTTGCTCCATTTCTTTTCATACACAAGTCAACAACATAATCTGATTTATTTCATTGATTCATAACATTTGATGCCCCAAATGCATGTAAAACATCAGCAACCTCGATTCATATATTTATGTATTGGTGATTCTAGTTTACTGATTATAGAGAGTCACATTAGTTCTTTATTTGGGAGCCACGAATTTCAGTTTACAGTATGGAACTTTCATTGCTGTTGTCCCTCCATGAAGATTTTTTTTTCCCCATTGTGGGTTGGATTTCCTCTGTTTATTTGGTGGTTTTTGGTGATGTTCTGTACATGACAAAGCTGAGAATGTTCCTGTATAATCTGATTTATTTCTTTGATTCATAATGGAACGGATGGATAATTTCTTTAGAATGGAATGGATGGTCCTCGATTCTTCAAAATGCAATGGATGAAAATTTTATTTCCTTCTCTCTCTCCTCTGTCCTTTTTCTTCCATCCACTCTCTGTCTCTACCCTCACCTACTCCAATATCTTTCCTATCTCCAGTTTTCTTGCAAACCTTTTCTTCATTTTAGACCAAACTCCCTCTTAAATTCTCTCGTTTTTGTAGCATTTTATCAGCCAATATACTTATCACTCCTTTCCCATTACAGGGCACCAAATGTCTGAGTTGATACGTGGTTTTCACTGCTTTGTTGTTTTGTTCTTTATGGATGATGGGTGTCGGTTTTCTCAATTAGAAATAAAAAACAAATTTTTATCACACAGTTACCTTGTTTTTATTTGGATTCTACTGGCTTACTGGTTCTGTCTTGGGCCTAAATAGACCACTTGGGTCGTGTTAAATGCCATGGATTTCTGTGATTCTTTTGCTATTTTGGTAGCAGTGGTCCTTTGAGGCTCTTATTCGAGCCTACTGTGTCAAGAGGTGAGGACATACGGCCCTTCTTATGAGTGTAGCATATTGATTTTCCTAGTTCTGTGCAGGTCAATAGATCTTCTTATGTATGCTTAATGTCCATATAAATCCTTTTCCTCCTCAAGGCTTTTATTGAAAAATGGAGAAAAAATAAAGAAGTTGAGGTTAAATTTTATTCTAAAGTGGCCAAAGGCCAAACAAGTAATATATCAAACAATATGTGTTTCTAATACTTCTACCCATATAAAAACAGTTCACTACCAAACTAAAATAAAATGACAAGATTTTCTAGTTAGAGATGTAAAAACTTGTAATTTATTTTCAATGTGATGTTTTTTTACACTTTACAATATCTTTGTTTGATCTGTTATTATTTTTCTTTTGCATGAAGCATTCAGTGCTTTATTTGTTTAAAGTTTACCAATTTTATTGATTTTTATATTTCTCAATGGCAGAACATATCAAATGTTTATATTTCTCTATGGCAGAACATATCAAATGTTCTTCTACCCTATCTTCAAGTTGTTCTTACTGGAGGGCATTGCACTAGTTGAAGCAGAGACCTTCATCATCTGTGATTGATTCAAATGGAAAATCCTGTTGATTATGGTAACATGATGACAATTTTCTCAGTGTATTCGTATTGTTTTCCTTTTTTGCCAACAATCTCTAGATAATTTGTTGCTCTATAAATTTAACTTTCTGCTATTGTGGGTTTAAACTTTTTATGAAGTTATACCGGAATTAGGTACGTAACTACTCTATGAGTGTGTGTATATGGGTTTGTTTGCGTGCATCCGGGATGCGTGTGTGTGCATGTGTGTGTGTGTGCATTTGCCTGAGGGTAACAACAAAGAGCTTACCCCCTCCCTTGCAATGAGAGGGAGGAACGAACTATCAGGAATGCATTTGTGCCTATGTTAAGGAAATGATTGCAATTTGGTAGTGTTGCTATCTTCAACCTTAATTACAATAATGAGAAACGAGCTTAAATAAGTTCCTATAAATAGCAATAAAAAATAATTATATGGCTCTTTCTGATTTAAGGTAGATTTATGTTAATCACAATAATGAAAAACAAGCTTAAATATGTTCTGATAAATAGAAATAAAAAATTATTATATGGATCTTTCTGATTTAAGGTAGATTTTGTTGCTCTATATATCACTGGCAACTGATATTAGTGGTCATGGATTGGACTTTACATAGACTTTTAAGAACCAAAATTTCTCATTCTTGTCTAAATTTATGCTACCATCAGATATATCCAATTTTATACACTCCCATTGCATTCCAAGAAACTATGAGGGAACTTCAATTCCAGAGACATGAGGGGGGTTTTGTTTTAACTCTGGAACTAAAGCACTGCCATAAACCTCAGATTGAAATGTGTAAAATAAAAGATGTGAAAGGTAGCAACTAGCAAGTCAGCAGGTGCATGGACAACACGCAAAGGAATTGAATTGTCCTTATTTGTTGAAGCAAACTATAACTGTTATAACTAGTAACTACATCCGGCCAGTGGCTTTTTCTTTCCCCACTGTGGTCATAATACCTGATAAAGCAAAGCAACTGCTTTTTTTTCTTTTTAAATATTGAGAAAGGGAAAATGTTACATCAAGTTGCTTTATATAGAAACAGTCCAACTGAGATTTACACTGAGTTGTTTGGTGGTGAGGTGGGACAGCAAAGAAAGAGAGTAAGAAATTAAAAGAATAGAATATCAAGTTAATGGGGATGGGGGGCCAGGTCCTAAAAAGGTCTTACCTGCTATGAATAGCATGTACCAATCGTAGGTTACCGGTTTACCGTAATAAAAATGATGAATCTCCTCTGTAAATAACATTCAAGGAGTGACCTTCCACTTGGATGAGGTCCAATGATGATCTAAACTCAAAATGCACTTATCAGTGAGAAGAGCCATCACATCAGCTCGATTTGCATCGCCTGAACCCTTCGGTCCTGTATGGGTAAGTCGAGTAATGCATGGTATCTAATCACTCCAACACTAGAAGGCTCAGGGCTCTGAATAGAGTTTCCTTTGAATAACCCAAATAGAACGTTCAGACAATGAAGCATGTGTGAGTTGGTCCGGATTTCTTGCCACATCATGGCATTCTCTCTGTGGAACTCTCTTTTAACGAGTGCCCAAGAAATAATCGTCTCTTACTCACTTTCCTCCTGATCTATTCAGGAGTACTTGTGCTCAAAAATTCTCATATTTCTTTGTAGCTATAGTAATGCTTAACATCCATGAAATGTTCTACTTTTATGGAAAGGACTGAAACCCCAGCTGGTAAAGGCAATAGTTAATGTATGAAGTTTTTTGAAATTGCTGATAATATCTCATGAACTTATTCCAAACAAATTCCATAATCTGTTATAATCAAAAGGCGTTTCTAAGTTGAAATAGTGGAAGGTGTGCAAAGAGGCAATTCGTTCTTTTTCATGTCTTTTATTAACATTCATGGGGGTATTTTATTAGTGGAGTGATAGCATTCAAAGCAAGGTTTGAAAAAATGGATTGGCGACCCGGATCGGCCTCCCAAAAAATTGTGTTGGATCGGTGATCCGGATCGGAGATTTGGAAGGATTGGCAGGTTTTGGCCCAAAACAATTTCAAAAAATTACTGAAAATCTCTAAAAATAATGCTTTTTGAGTTTCTAAAAAAAAAAAGAGTGGTGCATTATGTACTTCTATTATTTTGTAAAAATACGTGAATACCAAGACCTTGTTTTCCTGTCTGGATGTCTATTAACCATTCACTCATATCACTGAAAAAAAAGAGTATATAATAATCAACATGGATATAAATACATGGTCTAAAATGGAACATACAACAATCAAAATACAACTTGATACCAAAATGGAACATGTTGTTGTTCTTACTCTTCATTGTGTTGGCGCCACTCATTGAATTGTCTTAACAATTCATCGAGTCGTTTCATGTACGCCTCCGAATTGTGTATTCTATATAACAATAACAACTTAATACAATTTAAAATTATATTAAATTTTTATTGCTCTATAAAATAAGTTATTATAACAATAACAAATTAACAATAGGTTATTTGTTAATAGGTGAGGTTTCTATAAGGTTGCAACCTTAAACAATTCACTTAAGGTGCACCTCCAAATTTTATCATAACATGTAATTTTGGTGTAAAACATATTAAGATTATCCGAAATTCTATATTTATATCTAATTATAAAATTTTAAACTCCAAAAAAGGTTAAAATCAAGTAGATCTATAAATATATGAAAATCTTAAAAATGGACGGCCTAGATAATGTGTTGCAAGATGCCTCATTTCTAGGACTCAAAATATTTTTTTTCATATTTATACATCTCTTGATGTTGAGATGATCAATTAGAGGGTTTTTCAACATTGAAACAACATTTTCCGATAGATTTTTTAGGTGCATCTTTAATTCTACATTTTAAGGTTGCAACCTTATAAAAACTTTTCCCTTTGTTAATAAATGTGTAAGTTATAAATATATTGTATTTAAAATTGCAATCTATATTAAACATGAAAATAGCAAAATATATACAACAATAACAATTTATTAATAACGCAGCAATTTAATACATTAAATATGTGATGTTTGAATGTATTTATAACAATAAAATTTTTAATATAGAAATAACAATTTTAATGTAATTATAGTAAATAAGTTAACAATTTTTACATAATTATATTCATTCAACATAATAATATGAACATAATTTTAATGTAATCAATCATATTCGCATGATTATACTAACATAATTTTAACAAGTTATTAAGATAAATAAACGACAATAATTTCAATATAATTATACTAATTTTTGTAAATTAATTATATGGAATTTCTTTTTGTAATCATATGTAATTAAAATTTAACTAGATGTACTTTTATTTTTTGTAAGCTATAAAAAAGGAAATAAATATTATTAAGCCACAAAAGAAAAATGAATTTTATTTTATAGACTATTTAATTTTTGTAGACGAACTTGCTTTTGTGTAAGCAGGAGAGAGATAGAGATGTTAATGGAAATGTAGAAGCAAGAGAGAGAGTGTTAATGGAAACGTGACATGTAAATGTCTAACTTTGAAGTAGAGGTTGGATATATCCCACATTGAAGGGTTGTGGGAGAGAAAGCCACCATAAAAGGTGTGAACTCCCCATCAGTAATAAAAGTTTTGCTCATGAGGTAAGCACGATGATCAGTGTTAGAGCCTATTGTTCATGAGGTAAACGTGATGACACTTGCTTATGTAAGTAAAGTTGGTGGGCCCCACCACAATACTTTTTAATTAGAAAATTGTTGAAAAAATCCTATTCATTAGGAACTGACTGGTTCTCTAACATTGAACTAGTATGAACTGGCCGGTTCTGGGGGGACACAGCCAGACTTCGATATATTGAGGGATCAGGAATAGGATACCTAATCTGGATCGAGCGGTTCTGATCCGGATCAACGATTTTTCAAACCTTGATTCAAAGGGCCAATGTGCAAAAACGTGCATTGCTTCTGCGCTATTAGGAAGCTGTAGACTGGTTACAATATAGAGTAGGAGGCACTCACTGACATTCACCAGATTGAGTACTGTCACAAGACAAGGGGGTCGGAGCAAAGCATGATTGTTATATGAGCAATGAAATCTATCAAAGAGCCATATAAGTCATTATCATTGGTTTTTATGAGAACTTGTTTTGGCTTCTTTCTTATTATTGTAATTAACCTTGAAGACAACAAAACTGCGTAACTTTTGGATGATATCTTCTCTTCATATCTTTTGCTGTTAACAAAAAATGATATGCTTTGCTTCCAATATTATGGCTTGTCTCCATATTCCTCTTATAATACTTTCTCAATTCTCCATTTACATCAAGTGGATTATAGACACACACATGCACACACACATCTTTGTACTGGCCCTATGTTATTATAAGCTCTGATTTCAACACCCTACACCCTACAGTTGCAAGAAAGCCTGGCACTGCCCAAACTTTAGCACAGAAGCTTTATAACATTCATTCGAAAAGCCTTCCCTTTGCAGCACCTGAATCCGAACTAGAGATATGCGAATCCAAACTGGTATGCTGCTTTTGGAGACATTTTTGTGCTGATAATGTAGAGGCTTCCTTTGAACTTATAGATTTTGCTTCTCATTGGTGCTCTTTGTGACACATTTTTTCAGGTACAATGTCTCTTGCGAATGATGCAAGGATATTCGAGCTTGCTGTTCTACTGGGAAGACAGGGATAAGATGTTTTGTATCAAGAATGCCATTCATGTGAATCACTTGTCAAAGTCAAGTCTCAACAGTATTCTTCATCAGTTTATTTATGGGGCTACATGCTTGCGGCTGGTAGAACTTTTTGTTAAGCAGGTGGAAAACTCTAGTGCACGGTTTCCTCCTACTTTAAAGGCTTTCACAAATTCTGTTTCTGCAAAACTCAAGGTGGGTGTCACCCACTGATGCATTACGCTTTAAGAAGAAATCATTGCTTTATATCCATCTGAGCTTATCTTGTTTTCTTGAGTAGAGATTACGTGGAATTGCTTTAAAGGTGGAAAAAGAATCAGCTGGATCCTCTAATGAAACTACTCTCACACTCCTGGGATTGGTGAAGACCTTATCGAGGTATCTTTGATTAATTAATGAAGTTCTTTAATCTATTGTTCGGATGCATTGCTGATGTTTTTTCCCCAAACTTTTGATATGCTATTGCATTTAAGTGGCCTGTGATTTGTTGAGCACTTGGTTTGTCAAGTAGGACACATCAATGTTATCAGATTCCCTTTGCTTCAGTAGACATGGGCCGGAGGATTTATCTTCATGCCTTAAACCAAAGTGAAACAAATCACTTTCCTGTTAAATTGAATATATAATAACATCACATCAATGTTATCAGATTCCCTTTGCTTCAGCAGAAATGGCCGGAGGGCGGAGGATTCTTGTTCATGCCCTAAACCAAAGTGAAACAAATCACTTCCCTGTTAAATTGAATATATAATAACAATACTTTTTTTCAAATGTGTCCTTGATATATTCTCCATTTCATAAGAGCACACTTAAGTAAATATGGCTTCATAATAGTCAAAATTTTAAGAAATATGTCTTCTTGTATTATAAAATGCCTTGTTACACATTTTTTGAAAATTTTTATTTTTTTATTTTTTTTAAAATGCATATGAAACTGCCCTGCCATCTGCTGAACAGCCAAAGTGCTTCTGTTTTCCAGGAAAAAGGAAGAGCCCTGTGAAGTGAATTTGATAACATTTGGCATAAAGTAGTTCTTCGCATTAGCTTATGAAGTGCATAGTTTTCTGAGTAAAAAGATTGAAAAGTATGGTATCTGTTCTGCATTGCTTCATTTGACTGCCATCTTGGTATGATCCTTTCACACGAAAGGTATATAGTTTACATGCTATGATGCTTGCAGTTCAACTGAAAAACATTCAAATATTCATTATCGGTTATGGCATAAAATAAGATTGATATATTTCAAATAACACAAATAATATTCGGAAAAGTATAGCCTATACCATTGGTTATATGGTGCACCACATATTTGCCTTTGAAATCAACATTTAACGAGCATTCTGAATGACCTTTGCTTTCTGTTCAAAGTTTGGAATCTGAGCTAGAATTTAATTCTTTTTGCTCAATTCTGGGGACATTGAGGACATTTAAGATCACAAGATCTTGATTTTATTCTCTATAGTTTACATTGGGGAAGTTGAAAATTCTTGTATGCTAGAACCTGAGAAGCATTTGGACTTGAAAATTATTGGATGCAAAATTTGCGCTTTCTAGTTTTTTCCTATCTTACTCCCACATATATCTGTGATATGCAGCGTATGTTCTGGCGCAGAATACCTATTGCAAGTAGTACATGGAGCAATTCCTCATAATTACTTTGAATGTACTGTTCCAGCTGGTGAAGTTGCAGTTCATATCCTTGACCATCTCTATAAGAAATTAAATGAAGTTTGTTTGGTGCAAGGTGGTGAGGTTGGAGAAAAGAGTCATTTTCACTTGTCATGTTTAATATTTGCGTTATCTTAAAAATCTCAGGACAGTACCTAGAACCCCTGCATGCTGTTAGTCCAGAAACCTGAAGTATTAGTATGGTACTCGGACAACTTTATTATTAAATGACTATCTACCTTCAGTCTTATATTTTAAACAACATAACATAAACTCATTTTATACCTGGGTAGTAGAGATGTTATATTTTAAGTTTCTGGATTATCTGTATGAGCGGCGAAGGTCTTCAAGCTAATGTCGTTATGTTCAATAATTTCAATTTGGTGTTATTTTGTTGCACATTCTATTGTCGTATGATGAGTTATTTATTCCAGGAGGAAGCATATCATACGCTATTAGCTTTGTTTGTGGGCAGTTTGCAGCCACTTATAGAGGGGCTAGATTCATGGCTTTATGAGGGAACTCTGGATGATCCATTTGAGGAGGTAATTCCTTCCATTTGCACATCTGCATACCCAATTCTTTACAAAGATATGTAATGCAACATTAGAGCTTTAATTGCAAGAATGCATGGATGCACAATTATACAGGGAAGTATGATCTAATAGACTATTTCACTTGTAGTTCATTAGGGTCATCATCCTCCACTGAAATGATGGTTAGTTATGTAGAGGGAATTGGAGTTGGAACCACTAGGGCATGACGTGACCAAATGGTGGCCTCTCTCTCTATCACTGTCCGTCATTTCATTGGACAATGATAACTTGATTGAACATAAAACTTCCATTGCCATGACATGAAAGAAAATGAAAGAAATACAGATGGTAAATAGCTATAGATGGTTTACAGTATAACAGATCAGCCAATACAGAGAGTCACATGAACTTATAATAAAAGCATGTCATCGAATGAAGTCACAAACACTGAAGCACAAAGAATCTTCACCTTAACTAAAGGGTCGTCACCCTCCACTGAAAGGATGGATTGTGATGGAGAGGGAATGGGAGGCAGAACCACCACGGCATGACATGACCAAATAGGAACCCCACTCGTTCTCTTTCACTCTGTCATTTCATTTGGACAGTGTTAACTTCATTGGACTATGAATTTCCTTGGTCCATTGGATTATATACTTTCCTAAACGTATTCCTTCTAAACCTCATTTTTTTTTGCGTTCTTTTCTTGATTATCTGGAAAATGAAGTGTTGTCAATCTCCCTTGGTAAGAGGAAATTTCGCTTAATGTCTTAGACCTTTTTTTTTGGGTGAACTTTTGAGGCAGCTTTTCTTTTATGCCAACAATTCAATTGGGGTTGATGATGCGACATTCTGGGAGAAGAGCTATCTCATGCGCCCTTTAAGACAGAGAAAATTGAACTGTGCTCCTATTTTTGAAGGGAAATCCCGGGCCTCCAACAAGAGAGGTATCTCAGATGCAGAATCCAATGTTCTATCTATGAGAGAGAAAGATGGTGAGAATTACGAAATTGTGTTTTGCCCTCTTTTTATACAACGCATAGCCAAGGCCATTGTATCAGCTGGGAAATCACTTCAGCTGATCCGCCATATTTATGGACAATCTAAAAACTCAATGGCTGGCCCCTCACTTGTTAAAATAGATCCACTAGATGGCCCTACTGCAATTCAAGAGGAAATATCTCAAGGTGATACATTTCTTAGAGAATCAGATAGTCGTTATGGAGGGAGGAGTTATGCTTGGAAGATGGGGAGGTTGACTTTGTTTGAGATGTTCTCTGTGTCTCTGGTTGGGCTAATTGGTGATGACTGCCACATATATAAAGGCATTAGTCATCAATATCCATGGTCCTTTCAAATAGACCAGCTATGCGAACTTTTCATGAACAAAACCGAATTGGAAGGTGAAAATGGTGACAGTCAGAGGAAAAACTGGGAGAGTCTCATAGTGGACATAATGTGGCAAAAAGATCCACATGTTCACATCAAAATGGAACGATTGAGCTCACAATGTGAAGTTGAAGATATCAATGGCAATATAGAAGACCCACTTCAAATTCATTCCTTTTGGCCAGCAAACCCTGCGATTACTGCATGTAGAAATCTGCTTGATAGGAGCAAGGAATCTTGGGATAAACTGAATGTGTCAAGAAGCTTCTATCTTCCTCCTCTAAACGATTGGTGCCTACGAGAGGCTATTTTTGGTGATTCAGGTCTTGAAACCAATAATGTAGATGAATTCACTGAAGGAACTGAATGTATCAAGGACAAAGAACGGATATCTGAGGCATTATTCAGTCAACTAAAGGGTACAAATTATATTCTTGGATTTGGAATTGGAAAATCTGAACACCATCATGAACAGAACGACACGAGAACTTTAGAATCTTTATTTCCTTTCCCAACTCTTCTTCCTTGCCTTACGGTACGATCTTCTTTTTTTTGGGTAGTTCAGTGGTAGGAATCGAACTTGAGCTGTAGTGCTGCTAAACTTCAGCTGCTAACCACTCAAGTCCGATTACTTACGGTATTATCCGAGTTTTTTTAATTGAACAATATTATCAGAGTTTTATCTAATTGAATTGCCGCCTTTTTTTACCTTTTTCTTCCTGACATTTATGAGGTTCTTCTCTCATAAGTAATTCTGAAAGCAGGACTACCCCAATATATCTCAACTGTTACCTTACCAGAAAAACAGCACCCTTGCTACAAGAGTTCTTAATTGGATTGAGTCCATAGAGCTAAAGGTAAGACCACTCCCTGTGGTTATTATTGAGGAATGCCTTGGTGTCTACGTAAAAAGGCAGGTATGTAGGAATGCTAGCCTTGGATTGCTTTAACTTTCAGCTGGTATATGGTTTCTTATTTTCTTGCACACTTAGGTGGATTTTGTGGGAAAGCATATCTTGCTGAAGCTTATGGATGGCTGGAGGCTGATGGATGAACTTGGTCTACTTCGTGCGATTTACTTGTTTGGTTCTGGTGGGTTCCCTGTTTCATTTCTCTTAATACTTTCTTGTAGAATTTTCTTGCATTAATGTAACCTTGTCCTTTGTCTTTAGGTGACCTGCTGCAGCAGCTCTTGACTGTGCTTTTTGATAAGCTAGATAGAGGGGAGTATTGGGATGACGACTTTGAATTAAACACATTACTACAGGTATTGCTGCATCGAGATTTTTCTTGGAACAATCTCTCTCTCTCGGTGTATATATATATATATATATATATATATATATATATAT